CTTTGCCGTTGACCACCACAACTATTCAAGGTTTGCCACATTTCAATATCTCACCCTGCTAAGCATAGAAACAACTCACCCTGGAGCTGAGGAACTACTCAGAAAGAATGGCCTATCCGTAGGAAAGTCAGATATCCCATGTAGCAGGAATATGGTGGATATTACCATTGAGCAGACCATAAACTGCGCTGCCAAGACAAAAGGAGGGATAATAGGCTTCAGTACAAACATAGGGGCTTATAGAAGATGGTGTGTGTCCAGGAGCGAGCGAGCATCCTTCACTGAATCAATCAGAGTGGACAGGCCTAAGTGGTGATTCAGATGAAACTACCCATAGAGATCTCACAGTATCAAATACAAAGTCTTCTGAAGAGAAAGTCAAGACTGATGACTGCAATTGAAAGTATGATTAATCAATTTTCTTTCAAGACTCCACATTTGGTATCAATTTCATCTGGTGTAAGTGCACCGAATGAAGTTCAAGACCTTGTCACAGCCCTTGAGAGGGGATGTAAGGCCAAAGAAGAATTCATAAAAACAAGACTGGAAGAATGTACAACAGATTTGTACGCTAGCTGCAAGAAACTGAAAGTCCCAACCTTCAAATCAGCAGCTGTAAAAACCAAACTGACAACATCTGACAATAAGAAACTTGAACTGAGTGCATCGCGAAATCTGTTTGGACAATTACTCAACCTAACACAGAATTATAATCTTGATATTGAAAAGATGTTTACATACTCTCTAAGCCCAGAACCTTGGTCTCTGTCCCACCCTGACGGCTCTCTAGTAAAAACACCCAAAAGTGTGCTAGCCAGAGAACTAGAGAAAGATGTACCAGTTCTTCCTACTGTACCAGCTGATGCTGCACACATCATTGATGGAAATATGCTCTTCCACCAGATAGATACGCCTCCCCCAACGTTTGGTGAATTGGCCCAACATCTGTTCCACATGCTTCCAAAGAATTCAACTGTCCATTTTTGCACAGATTCCTACAAGGAAGAATCAATCAAAGACATAGAGAGACACAGAAGAGGAAGATCACAACATACAATTCTTGGGGGACCGAACACTAAAACTCCTAAATCGTGGAAGGAGTTTTTACGACACTCACAAAATAAGGAAAACCTCATTACCTTTCTCCTTGAACAGTGGAAAACATATGCCAAAAGAATAGAAGGGAGGAAACTGTATTTCAGTGATAGAGGTGTGGTCCATCTTCTTACCTCAGATGGAACAAAAGTAAGAACAGTTGAAGTCGAAGAGTTACAGAGTACACATGAGGAAGCTGACACAAAGATGATATCACATATGATGTTTCAAGCAAAAGAGGAAAACAGGCCTATTGTGGTACGCTCAGTAGACTCTGATGTCTTTCTGATTTTGATCCACTTTTCCAAGATGATCGATGTTTTCCTCAATAGGAAACAGCTTAGATATCAATGAAAACATTATCAGCAAAGTTGAGGCATTCACCTGCAAACTTAACAACCGCCTCACCAATATAACTGACATCAACAGATTGAGATATGACCTATTCCAAACACGATTTTCTTCAACACATGATACAGTGGTTAGTTTTGAGGGTGTGGATCTCACTACTCTTCCTCCATGCAAAGACAGCCTAGAGCAACATGTGAAAATAGTAAACTATCAAACATACATCTGGAAAAATTCACATCAACCCAAACCTAATGTTCCCAGCCCAACACTTCATGGATGGACCAAATCTGATGATCAAACAATAACACCACTATGGTCCAAAGAATCTTTCCTACCAATTGAAATCATTGACATTTTGCAAAAGGAGGTCTTTGAAAATGATGAATAAAAATGTGAGTGCATTATAAGACCTTATCCTCCTATAATAGAAGTTCTTATGTACATGTATTATGTTTAATCATGAAAATTTTACAAATTTTCACACTGCAAATAAAATATAATGAGTAAAGATGTAAGTGCATAAGAGCCTTATCCTACCATAATAGAAGTTCTTATATGTAATGCATAATCATTATAAGTCTTACAAATGCTCAAACTGCTAATAAAATAGCAAAAAGTTATTTTATCTTTTCTTTCACTGTTTTAAGAGTTATTTGAATAAAATGTTAATTTGAAAACTTATATTACCATAGCAAGCAACTAATGATGAACCAAGTCCCAAAATTGAGTACAAGATTGACCATTAATACATATCTGAAAGACAATATCTATGTATTTTTTTAGTAATAGTAACGATTCAATGGGGGGGGGGGGATATTTAGTAACAATCTGGTTACCATGGCAAAAAATCATATACCAAGACCAAAAGTCTGCTACAATACCCAAAATCAATCATTCTCTAAGATCTGAAAATATGAGATCTTTATCTGCCTTAATTCAAAAGTTATAGCATCCATCCAATGCTAGGGTCCGAATGGATGAAATAGACCCCTATGTGAGTCATGGACCCATATGAAACCAAAATCTGATATTTAATGCATTAGTCTTTACTCAGAATTATTGGTTATAGATTTTAGATGTTTTCTATGCACATTTTATACCTTCCCTCCAAATCAGAGACTTAGTATAAGCTTATTTTCTTTGTCCTTCCTGAAAAAATGCCCTGAAAATTGAGGTGCGCAAGGTATGTTTTATCCGTTTCCATAGCAACCAACAAAGCATCAGACATGAAATTTTTATGACACATCAAGCTACCCCATGCCAATATACCCTGGTAATATGGATCCATGACACAAAGTATTCTTGGAGTTGTAGACCAATTTCATAGTAGGGGTCCAAATTGCAGCCCATGGGGGGTAAAATGGCTGTCAAATCTAAAAGCTGAAAAACCAAAGTCCAATAATTCATAGAAACATGTAAAAACATACTAGTAACACAAAAAAATATGTCTCATAAAATCCCTCCGGACGCACGCTCAAACCCACATTCTGACTGAACTAATAGGGAAAACTCGTGCTATCCATTGTTTTCAGCATCAATTTGGTCATCAAAAATTGATACCTTCAAAACTAGACTTTCAATACAATTATATTTTTGAAGATGTTTTAGACCCCTTGTTGAATAATCTTTTCATGCAATAAAAATCAGAAAAGGGAGATCCTCTTTTGAGTAAATAGGTTCAATATTTTGAAATTTTGAAAAAAAATGTTGACATGGGGTCCCTATTCATAAATTTTCGAATTGTTCGATTGATATTTTTATCATCGTGGGTACTTCACTTGAAGAAAACATATTGTTTTAATAAAAAACACTGTATTTATGCCCAGAAAGAACTCATGGTGAAAGATATGACCGTCTAAAATCACTTGCCATACTGCACGTGGTCTTTTAAACCAAAAGTATGGAAATGATAGCCCTTGCCTAGCCCTGTATCCATGTATGTACTTATCACCATTAAATGTCCACTAATATATTCCTGATACTTTAGATATGGTGTAACGTCATTAAATTTCATATCTCGTATGATATTATGTACCTACTTTTAACCTGCTGCCAACAATGTTAATGTTTAAACCTAGGCGGTATAACAGTACGCCTTCTATAAACTGTAAACAAAGTCAACATTTCACCCGGGGTATATCACGAAGAATACCCCTGGTAATACGTGTAATGTGTGACGTCATAACGACGGGTTGTAGTAATGGCGGACCATAATGAATATTCGAAACATTTTGATGAGTTTTCATGTTCGAATCGTAATATAGACCTCGGAGCAGGGGTGATATCGTCGAATACACCCCTTAGGGCTAGGCACAAAAGCTTTCGAAGCCCTCACTCCCTTCGGTCGTTCGGGGTACAGGAATAGTTTGTGCCTAGTCCTGCGGGGTGTATTCGACAATAATACCCCTGCTCTTTGGTCTATATTTCTTTAATATTGGACCAATATTTCACTATATTGAGGACTGAAACAGCAGTTATTGTACTATTCACCGAAAATAGAAATAAAAGAATGACAGAAACATATTTTCAAACTTTACATGGGAATTAAAAATATTGATATGAGATGGTTCAATCTAATGTCTATGTTATACTCGAAGATTTATTTGGCCTACACATTTATTGCATTATTGTATTGATTGCATTCCATCAATGCTAATTTTTCATTCTTATACCTTTCACATCTACGTCGAAAAGATTCGATATGTTATGAAAAGACAGAAAGAAACATCCCGTCGCAATGACTTAAGTAATAAAAGCCAGACCACCCCGTTGGGAATCGAACCAACGATCGATTGATCTGAATTAAATAGTACATGTGCTTCGAACATGTGCTTCGATCAATTTACAAGTTATGCAAGTCTTTTGCTTACTTGTTAGTAGGGTTCAACTAAAATATGACGATACAATTGAAAACAAACCATTCTTCATGAATAAATAGCAGTGTACACAAAAAACGTTCAGATGTGTTGGAGAAACGTGATATTTTTTATCGATATTCAATATAAGTCAATTAGCTTGCGATTGTACACTCCAACCTTAAGTTTTGTAACATGAAGCCCACTTCTGAATCGCGTATTAAGCCGTTTTATCATTCGCGATTTAAAATAAAATATCACATTTGTCAGAGACTTCCGTACAAGTATAATCAGTATATATAATAAAGAAACAAAATAAAGATTTCTAATGACCCGAGGGCGTCCAAGGGGATGACTAACTAACGAGTATAGTGTAACAAGCCAGATAAAGAAATTGACAGAAAATTTGCTAAATTCAGTGCCCCGTGTCGAAATCGAACCTAGGACCCTTGGATCCGACTGATGCTCTACCGACTGAGTAATAATGTTTAAGTCACTACAACTGGGCTGTAGCAACTTGCTATCAAGGGTCGTTACAGATTCAAAACTTAACAGGCTTTAACACGTTATCAAATGAAGATTTCAGTTGCCAAATTTGTGGAGGGGAGTGTATACCTTTCTTTTCCAAAGAATGATTATACCAGAGTGATATATCAAACTTACTAAGGTTACGTCATTGTTTCTCTAAGCAACATACTGTAATAACATAAAAATGTGTACCACACAAATGAAGTTGAAAACTGCGTCATTGTTTTTCTAAATCACGACATATACCAACATTACCTCGTGAAACGACCATGGTGGCTTTAAATGGACTTATGATGATTCTCATGTACCCATGCATTGCAGGTAAGTATGATGTACATATTCTATTTTGTGCAAGGGCTATTCTTAGGAAGGTAACATTTTGTGCAAGGACTATTCTTATTTATATCATTTTATGCAAGAACTATTCTTAAGTAGGTAACATTTAGTGCAAGGACTATTCTTATGTTAGTACCATTTTATGCAAGAACTATTCTTAAGAAGGTAACATTTTGTGCAATGACTTTTCTTATGTTAGTACTATTTTATGCAAGAACTATTCTTAAGTAGGTAACATTTTGTGCAAAGACTATTCTTATGTTAGTACCATTTTATGCAAGAACTATTCTTAAGTAGGTAACATTTTGTGCAAGGACTATTCTTATTTATATCATTTTATGCAGGAACTATTCTTAAGTAGGAAAATTTTTGTCCAAGGACTATTCTTATGTTAGTACCATTTTATGTAAGAACTATTCTTAAGTAGGTAACATTTTGTGCAAGGACTATTCTTATGTTAGTACCATTTTATGCAAGAACTATTCTTAAGTAGGTAACATTTTGTGCAAGGACTATTCTTATTTATATCATTTTATGCAAGAACTATTCTTAAGTAGGTAACATTTAGTGCAAGGACTATTCTTATGTTAGTACCATTTTATGCAAGAACAATTCTTAAGAAGGTAACATTTTGTGCAATGACTTTTCTTATGTTAGTACTATTTTATGCAAGAACTATTCTTAAGTAGGTAACATTTTGTGCAAGGACTATTCTTATTTATATCATTTTATGCAAGAACTATTCTTAAGTAGGAAACATTTTGTGCAAGGACTATTCTTATGTTAGTACCATTTTATGTAAGAACTATTCTTAATTAGGTAACATTTTGTGCAAGGACTATTCTTTTGTTAATACCATTTTGTGCTACAACTATTCTTATGTAGGTAACATTCTATGCAATAACTATTCTTATATCTGTACCATTTTGTGCAAGGATTGTTCTTATGATGGTAACATTTTATGCAAGGGCTATTGTTATGTAAGTAACATTTTATGCAAGGACTATTCTTATGTATTTATCACTTTGTACAAATACTATTGGTATCACTGTTCCACAACTAGTGACTTTGACGGAACGTCAATGTAAAAAAATGGATGAACTTCCTGGATAAGAGTCTTCTGTTTTCTCGATTTAAACTTACATGTAACAGTCAAGTCAGGTAACTAAGTCAATATTCGATATTCGTATGTTCATCAATATTTACTAAGAATGGTGCCACAATTGAATTCAATATACCTATCAGCAAACGTGTAAATGATAATTTTGATGTTCTGTTACATATTGGTGAAGCAATCTTGGGGATATGGCCTAAATCTGTGAAGTTCCACTGTGTCCCTGTATACCCCTACTTCAAAAGATGTATGTTATTTGACATTTTCCATTATGACCCAACCATAAATGTATTTTTTCTTGTTTACATATAGATTGAACTTTCTGTTTTCGAATATGGACAGATTGTACTGCATTTATTTTTTCATGATATGGGGCAAACAAAGGAGTGTCAATTTACAGTGTCATATTCTACATGCTTATATTTCAAGAGTAGTTTTGAAGAATAATCAAGAAAATCCATGTTTTCAAATTGATTCATCCTTGTCAAAGAACGTAAATGAGGATATGCGGTTTGAAAAACTAACAACATGTTTCAAGTTCTTACAATTCTTGGTTAAAACAAATATTTTGAAAGCTTTGATTTCGGATGTAAACTCCTACTCAATGAAAATTGTTGATATTTGTGAATTTTTCTTTCCGATTTCACATTGCTGGATCACGGAACCTTGCCTTGTTCGAGATGCACGAAACGTGTACGTGTTAATACTTGACGTCGTTCGGATATTTGGATGCCATTGACGTTTTCGGTAATCTCCTACCACTGTAACTTCCAACTTAATTTTTGAAAGCCAAATATGATATTCATGAATTGATATTTAAGTCACACGTTGATGCATACATCATATGTGTACATTAACTGTCGAATCCATGCCGACTTACATTCATATAAATATCCACAGTTTAACTCAAATCATCGATGCTCGAAACGGTTTATCATATAACCTGGTGAGTTTAATGTTTCGTTTTAATGTTATCGGATTTGAGTATGATTTTAGTTGAGGCTTAAACAGATGCAATGGAATTGCATGAATCCTTTTGTGAAAATTCGAATGATTTTTCAAGAATCCTCCTTCAAATTGTTACCAAAGTGTTCCCCGGGAGTGGAAATTTCGTCTTGTCCAATCAAAATAATAGCGGGTAGTTTGAATTCTTATTTGAATTTATAGCTTACATCTCTAAATTTAAAAACATATTGCCTCATTGAGAGGTACATGCAGATTTTGGCGATCTATCATGATAAAAGGCTAAATATTGTGAAAAAACGCGAGTTGACTCGTTGACATTTGGAATTGAAATAATTGTCGACTCAAGTTTAGAGGTCATGAAAATAAGGTTGAACATAAAACATTGACCCAGTTACTGTCTATTTAGCATGGGAAATATTATTAATGACTTAAATCGTTAACAGTTATGCTGAATTCCAAGAAACTTATCAATTTAGAAATTCAAAATGTTCAATTTTGTTTTTCAATTATAAAATTATAAAAAACTGCACCTGTAGAAAACAACGTTTACAAAATTATTTAAAACGGAGATATTTACTTATGTAACATTCGTTGGCATGTGTCAGGGAGTAAATAAGAAGAATATGCTTTTAATTCTATATCTTGTTCCCAAAGGAATTTGTTAAGGAGCGGTATATCTTAACGTACTTTTATCATCCCGAACTGAAACATTTCGAATACTAATTTCGCGAACGTTTTTTTTTGAGAATGAATTTACGAGATTTACTCAAGATTAATACGTTAAAATGTATATTATCATCTTAATAACCACCTCTCAAATTATTTTGGAAATGAAAGATGTACGATTTTTGAGATTTTTTATTTTCGAATGTTGACGCAGTTACTCGACTTGACTGGTAAGTCATGTTGCGGATTATCATTAGGCACAAAGTTAGACAATATAGTCTAGCTTTTAAAAATGCTCTCGGTTTGGAATTTGAATTTTTAATAAAGCTGTTATTCATGCATTTAGACCATCGCTTTTGTTACATTGGCGTAAGTCGTCAAAGTAACATACATTGGTAATATAACGGACTTCGTCAATGTAACAAAAGCGAGGGGCTAAATTAGGAATTGCAACTTCATTTACGAAACAAATTCCAAAGGAATGTTTTCTAGCTTTGTGCCAAATTATAATCTGCAACGTGACTTATAAGTAGGTCTTAATCGAGAAAACAAAAGACTCGTAACCAGGAAGTTCATCCATTTTGTTACATTGACGTTCCGTCAAACTAACTAGCTGTGGAACAGTGCCTATGTCGGTACCATTTTGTGCAAGGACTATTATGAAAGTACTATTTTTGTGCAAGAACTATTCTTACGTTGCTAAGATTCTTATGTCGGTACCATTTTGTGCAAGGACTACTCTTTTGTAGGTACCATTTTGTGCAAGAACTATTTATGTAGGTTCCATTTTGTGCAAGGACTATCCTTATTCTAAGTTATCAAAACTAGTTTTAATGCTTCTTGTTATCTAGGTTTAAAATGGACAATGAGTATTTCCGAGCCAACATTTGTCAACAAGTACATAAGTTCTTCATCGCAATTCATAACCAGCCTGCCTTCAGATATGTGTGTTTACCATGTTTACGTTTACAACAAGGCTGCTACCACTGCCATTTCTAGCAGTCAATTCTATTTTTGGGATTGGAATGCACCTGCCGGATCAGTCCAAAATATATACTTTAGACTGTAAGTATTAATTTTCATATCCTTTATTCAGAAATATGTTGAATAAAGATTAAAACGGTGAAAACATATCCAAGAGAAATTCTCAATAAATATCCAGTGGTGTTTATTCATATCTTTTTCTTTTATAATTAGGATTATTCATATGATAATTGATCTGAATCAATCGCTTGTGCTGTTCTTTATAAATATGTTAATGGTGCCAATTGGTATTTGTAGTGCGCCCAGGAATTATGAATATAGAACAGAAAGTGGCAACATTTCGTGCCCTAAACGTGTATCGAGAATTGAAATGGTTTCCTACTGGAATGCAATGTACGTTCAGGAGATCATCTTGGACTACCACCTTTGTAGTGATCTTGGTATGTATTCGCGCTTGAGATCATAACTAATGTAAAAATGCTGTGGATATATAAGATTGAAAACTGCATGATTAAGGCTGCGTTTTTTAACTGTCCGCGGGCTAGTGCATTGTAATGCATTGCTAGTGCATGTATCCTTTGGGATATACAATATATTTTCCCCAACCTTCCCAGTGTACAACCCCTATCTATTCATTTTTAGCATCCATAAATACAGGGATTGTGCAATCAGATTTATATGGATATGCCGGACCGCAAGGCACCACTGTTAACTTGGGCTCATCCATAACTTACAAACAAGGCTACCAGACATCTGTGGGATCCAAACAAGCTTGTGCTCGGGACTGTTCCCTGGACATTTGCTGTCAGTACTTTTCTGTCAACATGACCTTGCTTCAGGAGGCCGGTGGTAACGAGGCACCAAATAGTTGCACATTGTGGGGTTTCTTCGGCCATTCTGACTACTCAACAGCGGACGGTCATTCAAAGATGTGGTCAAAAAAGGTCTTGATTTGAACAAGACATCACACTTGAATTGATAATTTATGTTTATCTGACACATTTATTAGAGATTCCATTAATATTTGTCAGTTTCTCATAATAGTTTTTAGCTTGCTATAACTAATAATGCCATCTATTAGTCAAACTCTAAATAGCTGGTCCTCTATTATATATTCGGATTCATATCGTGGTCAGAACAATATCAGGTATATAATAGCAAGTGATCAGGGAATGATAAGGGGCATTTATTCGAATATGTCATTTTCGAAAGAGCAAAGGTTTTTAACACTGTTCACAACTTTTTCAGAGAGGGAACAATCTCGTATTCAAATTCAGAACAATACATTGTGTAACTATGGGAACTTTCCAAATCACTTGATCAACCGAGTCATTTTCGCAAGTGATAGCTTTCCCCTAGTAAAATATGGAAAATGTTGGTCAAATGATTCAGACAGCAATTTCTCTGATTGGAACATTATCGGATTGAAACCCAATATGACTGCCGCAGGAAGACCCGTTCTGAAACAAATGTTCATTGAGACCCAAAGAAGATTCAATACAGACCTTTATATGTCTACTCATGAGGATATCCTATTCCATCGTGGGAAACTCTTTACATCTCTTAAAGCTATTGAAAGATTCACAAGAGGTCATCACATTAGAAGTTATATAAATTTATCTGGAGCAAGGATCATGGCAAAGTTAAAGACGGGTCAGATGAGAATATCGTTGAGGAAGTCCAAGGTGCCAAACTCTAATCTGACTGCACAGGATTATTTCATCACAAGTAAAACAAGTTTTCCTTGGGATGATGTTCCTGATTATGTCATCAGCCTTCCTATATGTGACAATTGGTTATTAGTGTTCAGCAACAAAGCTGACATTGCAACATTTGATATTACTAGCACAAACATTGCTGTACACCAATCCGGGGTCCCGAAATTTAAAGATATGAATTATATCAATTCTAAAAGAATAAATGTACATTTATGGAATGAATCGGTATTAACAAATGTCGGTCGTGGCCTAGACTGTTGTAAATGGAAAACTGTATATAAAGGAGAAGTTCAATTCAATTCAATTTATTCATTCAAAAGTTACAGTCATTATAAATGCAACATTCCAACAGTCGTGTATTGCACAATTAAAAATTCCAGTAATTAATTTTTTGGATGAGAGTATTTATGATGGTTGATGAGTTGACTTAAATGGTACAAACGAATGGAAAAGACCGACAACCGAATTATTATCAGTCACATAATATCTTAATGATTGACTACTGACTGATCTGACTGAGCGAACTAAACATAATACGTGTTCTGCCTCTAAGTTGAACACTTATGGAATACCCACACTTTTTGTAACACTACTCACTTTATTCTACCGCCACGTAGAAGAGATGCATGCTGACTACAATTTCATCATCACTCATTAAAAGGGGTTTAAAAGACGCTAAGGGAATGAATCGAATATAAGGCACAGAACTTTAAATAAGACGCCAAAATATTTTCACAGAATAGGACGTACAGTTTTCCATTATGATTTAGAATAGTTGCACACCACCATCGGAGAGCTTATCATGCGTCCTTTAATCATTTTTATACAAAAATTACATCAAAATAAGGGACTGAGAAATTAAGTGTAACGCATAGAACTTTCAATAATAAATGAGGAAGTTAAGTGGAACTTTAATTTTATCAGTCAGCGTTCGTTGACTTACACCATCCTTCTTCAACGGACTTCATTTATACTTAAATGCTTATATATATAAAATACCCTTGCAGTAAGGATGACTTTCACTCCCTCCAAATGTTTGGCAACCCGCCTCTTCACTTTGCATTCTTATTGGGATACTGTACGGAATTAGTAGGTTTGCCGCAAGTCATAGGACAAAATAGTCCAAATTAATTTTTAATAAACCTCTCTCATTGGAAGAACAAAAGAGACGAAAAATCATTGGAAGAACAAAAATTAAAAGTTACTTTGAAGCTCTAAATGCTTGCAAAGAAAACTCAACACTAAAATAAAGATGATTCTACACACAGACTTATAACATGCAATTTTGTCCTCCCAATATGGGACTTTATAAGGAACAATTGTGAAGTACACTCTTAAAAATTATTACTTGGATTTCCTTATATTGAGAAATTGTACTACTCATTTTAAGTCAAAAATTACTTAAATAATCTTGAACTACTGAATAATTTTTAAGTAATTTTTAAGTAATTCATTTATGGTGAATTTACTAATGCAAGGAGAGAAATTGAAATACTTACTGTAGTAATTATAATACTCATTTAAAAATAATTAAGCAATTATAAAACTCAAAATGACAATATAAGTTAAACCTAAGTAAAATGAAGTAAAACTAAGTATTTAACTTTAAGTAATTTTTATACTTGGGAAATACTTGGGAAATACTCAAGTAATTCATTTTTAAGAGTGTATGTTTAAATGAACAAACCATCTTTAAAGGTATTTTAGGTAAAGAAAAGAGTATCTTAATCAAGTAATAATTGTTGCTAAGTGGACGATCCACAAGCAAAAGTTGGAATTGTACCAAAATAATAATATCTTACATAATTTTAAAATAGAACTTGATAAAAGAAACATTGTATTGTAATTGTAAAATTTTAAAATGATATGAAAATAAATTTTAAATTAAAAAAAACACTATAATTATGAGTCTGGATTTCATAAAAACGTTAAAAAGATGTAAGTTTTAGAAATTGTTTCTTTAGACTTTGTAGAAAAAGCGACTTGGATATCAGAACCTTGATGGAAAATCAAGAATACAAATAGAAGTTGACCAACAAAAAGTGTATGAGCTACATGTATGTGAAAATATTATACATATGAGCTTTATGAAGATATTATACATAAAGTAACTATGGATTGGGAGGTTAAATGACGGAAGATCTTTAGAACTTTTGGTTAAAACATAACTGCGTCACTTATTTCACCTTAAGCATTGACCATGCCAGTTGTTAAGCAATACATTTGATAGTTCACCCAATTCCCATTCGATCCCGGATCGAAATATTGATACGGCATTTCTAAACTACAAAGACAATCCCAATAATTATCAATTATCCGTTTCGGCTAATAGATATGCATTGACCTCCTGGCATTGACCATGACAGTTGTTAAACAATAAATTTGATGGTTTACCCAATGCTTTGTCTTTCCATTCGATCCCGGATCGACATATCCCAATAATTATCAATTATCCAATGCCTTATAGACAGGTTCCAATTTAGATAATTCAAGTTTTTGAGGCATTTTTTAGAAAAAGCAACATATCTATTTTAACTAGATCAGTTTTTCATGCTGATAAAGATATTAAAAGATGACAGCTCAACGGGATGGCGGTGACACTGATTTTTGGCATTTTTACTAAAGATCTAAATCTAAAGATCTCGAATTATATGTTTTATCGATATGTTCACTAAAAATGAATATTTTTCTTCTCTTTTCCTTTCGTTTCTGGATTTGATAGTAATATGACTTCATGCCAAATATCAACTATATCACCGTATATACGATTTCCTACGAATAATATTGTGTCTAAACGAGATGAGGATTTGTCCACTAATAAACACAGTTTTATATATAAGCGATTGCACCTTAACATTTAAGATAATACTTTATCGTATGATCTGTAAAATGAAGCCTTATGATTGGTCAGTTCTTGTGCTGTACCAATCTGTATTGCTATTGAGATTGTCCCCATTGATCATCTCCGTCACAATACAGAAAATATTGGTACGGAGGGGACAATCTCAGTAGCAATACAGAGGATCACACGATAAAAACGTTATATAGTATGATTTGAAGTGCCATACAGGATATATTCTGCTCTCTATATCCTGTATTGGCACTCGACTTTGTCTCGTTCCAATACGGAATTTCTCAAGCAGAATATATCCTGTATTGCACTTCAAAACATTCAATAACTTAAAGTTTTAATACTGCTATTCATTCCAGGGGTGTAGGACGGTGTAAATTCAACACTACGCCAAAAATATTTAAAAATTGTGACAAATCTTTAATATCAAAACGCCTATTTTATGCTCGCAAAACGTAATTTTTATGGTTACCTTTCTAATGTGCTTAATATGTTCGGATGATTTTCATATGATAAGATAATAGATAAATGCTGACTTATCATCATTTCAATATAATTTCGGTCCATGATTTTATTAACAATAAAGAAACATGACTAAAGAACATAGAGAAATTAATATGTTTTTTTCTAGCTTTTCAACACTACACAATGGCGTTTTGGCGTACATTGTTCCTACGTCACTGCATTCATATCAGCACAGGTGAGCAACACTTCCCATGTATATGTACTTGCATATAGGTATCGCTAAATGTAAATTTAACAGTCTCAAAACATAGTATATAATCGTATGTTAATAAATCTATGAACTGCATCTGTCACGCCTAACCATCGACAACGTACAGTGACAAAGTATACGAGTGTACACTTTAGATGTACGTTGTCATATATTAACGATTTGATGCATGTTTTAAAAGATTTATCTAAGGAATATGATGAAGTAAATCATGTTTAATTTCTTGAAGATGCTCGAGTTTTTTCTAGGGAATTCCACCCACATGGACTGATTGAAAAATGTTGATTATATTCACATTTTCATTAACCACTTTTTCCCCTAGCGTCTTAGAGTGTCGATTATTTTTATATTATATGAATATGCTTCTGTACACTACACAATTTAGGACGGATGAAGATTTAATAACTATTCACGTTTTGGATATGATTTAAAAAAATCAGAATTGTACGTTGTCAACTCAGTTTACGTTGTCTATTTAACGAAATTTATGAGATGTAATAGTGAACAATGCTATAATTTTATTTCAAAATACAGCAGGGAATTAATGAGTTTCAAGTGTTGTTCAAATAACGTGTTCATATGCTTTTTACCTCTTATTACATGCTATTTTATGTACAAAGGTGGTTTTGTGGAGTTATATTATGCTATATCTGGAAAGTTCAGAACTTCAATAGTTCTAGGTTTAATCAAAATAAAATAACACTAATTGTTCAAAGATCTTCATTATAATTGTTCAATAAACAATTTAAGCAAAAACAATAGGGACATCTT